CTAGTAGTTTTGCTACTTTTCCCTTAGTGAAAGGCAAAGGGCATAAGGGAAATCTACAAAATAATGTTTGAAGGTGAATGGGTGTTAGGTTGCTGGGTTGATTCTTCTAGCCTTCTGGTAACTTCCAGACATCTTAGAAATTGCCCGGGCTGCTTAGCAACTGTAGAATGTGAGGTAACGGGGGCTGTGTGTGTGTGCGCGCCTCAATTTATTTTTTGCAACTAGCAGTTAGTTTGACTGCTACAGTAGATCTTTCTTTGAACCCACGAAACAGTAGGCGATGACGTGCATTAAACCCAAATGCCAACAGAACCTTCCGGCTCTGAAGAATCCCTAGTGTTATTTTTCTTTATTTCAAACTCATGAGGCACAAATCAGTTTTATACCCTTGCCGTACACTTCAGGAAAAGTAAAACGGTCACTCCTTTACTGAGGTTTGAATGGGGAGACTGTCATTCATTTGGCCTGAGTTTCATCTTTCAAACTAAACAAAGGTGCCACATTGGCTGCATGAGAGGGCAATGCTGGCAGACTCCACTGTAGAGTTATTGCCAAGCCTTAGCGCTCTCTCCATATCCTGCGGTGGCTCTTAAGCAGGATATAGTCATCACATGGAGTGGCTCGCTTCTTTGCAGTTAAGCACATTTACCTAGTTATTTTAACATCCACGTGGAGCGATCTGGCAGTAGCTGGAGGAGGACATTATCCTTATTGGCACTTGAGACACTTCAGTACTCATGGCAACCACTTTACATTTGAAATCTGTCTTTCTCATCTGTCAAATGGGCTTGTTTCCTCTATAAATTGTTTGTTTGGCACAGACCATTTCTCCAGATGGAGCACTGACACAAGATGTTCACCATCCTAGATATTTAACGTTGCAGTTGAGGTAAATAAAGGGCATAATTCTGACCTGTACTGTTATCATCCAGCGTTAAAGGCGAAAATGCATGGTGCACAGCGCCATCTTTTCAGCTATGCTTTAAAATCACTTTAAATGCAGTACAGCTAAAATAAAATTGGAAATTAAAATGGTAAGAAAGGACCAAAATGGATGATATGACTGGATTGAGTCTAAATATCTGGTTCCGACACATCCCGGCGGGCTCGCCTCAGATCAAAAGAAAGAGGGAGGAGGAGAGGAAGAAGAAAACAACAGAGTGAGAATAGAGAGGTGAACCGTACACACCGAGCGAAAACACGACTCTCCTCTGCGACGCAGCGTGATGAACTGCGCTCCTGACAGATAAATCTGACGCGGTGAAAAGGCAGGATGCTGAGCCGAGCGTTCAGCACTCTGCGGCTCCGAGCCGGAGCGCCGGGGCCGACGTGTCGAGAATGTGGGAACAGATGCTCCACACGTAGAGGCTAATTTAGACGGCGGTGATGAAAAATGGACAGCGAAAGTGCTTACTCTGCTTAGCCTGCCCTCATCCACTCCCCTCTCTTCCCCTCTCTTCGCCCAACCCCACCCCCATCACTCTCCATGGGGAGGATACATGAGGAGTGGAGTGGCTGCTTCCCCAGTAGAAGGTGCTAACCTAATTAGCCCTCCACCACTTTGCAGTCCCCCCTCCTCCTCCTCCTCCTTATCCCCATCTTCCTCCTTCTCGCTGATCATCTGGACCATTGTCAAATCAAATTTTATTTGTCACATTTTTATTTGTGAAAGGAATTAGTACACAATGAGCAACAATAACTTGGCTATATACACAGGGTACCAGTACAGAGTCGATGTGCAGGGGTACGAGGTACGGTGGGGAAAAATTTTATTTAGTCAGCCACCAATTGTGCATGTTCTCCCACTTAAAAAGATGAAAAAGGCCTGTAATTTTCATCATAGGTACACGTCAACTATGACAGACAAATTGAGAATTTTTTTTCCTGAAAATCACATTGTAGGATTTTTTATGAATTTATTTGCAAATTATGGTGGAAAATAAGTATTTGGTCACCTACAAACAAGCAAGATTTCTGGCTCTCACACACCTGTAACTTCTTCTTTAAGAGGCTCCTCTGTCCTCCACTCGTTACCTGTATTAATGGCACCTGTTTGAACTTGTTATCAGTATAAAAGACACCTGTCCACAACCTCAAACAGTCACACTCCAAACTCCACTATGGCCAAGACCAAAGAGCTGTCAAAGGACACCAGAAACAAAATTGTAGACCTGCACCAGGCTGGGAAGACTGAATCTGCAATAGGTAAGCAGCTTGGTTTGAAGAAATCAACTGTGGGAGCAATTATTAGGAAATGGAAGACATACAAGACCACTGATCATCTCCCTCGATCTGGGGCTCCACGCAAGATCTCACTCCGTGGGGTCAAAATGATCACAAGAACGGTGAGCAAAAATCCCAGAACCACACGGGGGGACCTAGTGAATGACCTGCAGAGAGCTGGGACCAAAGTAACAAAGCCTACCATCAGTAACACACTACGCCGCCAGGGACTCAAATCCTGCAGTGCGAGACGTGTCCCCATGCTTAAGCCAGTACATGTCCAGGCCCGTCTGAAGTTTGCTAGAGTGCATTTGGATGATCCAGAAGAGGATTGGGAGAATGTCATATGGTCAGATGAAACCAAAATAGAACTTTTTGGTAAAAACTCAACTCGTCGTGTTTGGAGGACAAAGAATGCTGAGTTGCATGCAAAGAACACCATACCTACTGTGAAGCATGGGGGTGGAAACATCATGCTTTGGGGCTGTTTTTCTGCAAAGGGACCAGGACGACTGATCCGTGTAAAGGAAAGAATGAATGGGGCCATGTATCGTGAGATTTTGAGTGAAAACCTCCTTCCATCAGCAAGGGCATTGAAGATGAAACGTGGCTGGGTCTTTCAGCATGACAATGATCCCAAACACACCGCCCGGGCAACGAAGGAGTGGCTTCGTAAGAAGCATTTCAAGGTCCTGGAGTGGCCTAGCCAGTCTCCAGATCTCAACCCCATAGAAAATCTTTGGAGTTGAAAGTCCGTGTTGCCCAGCGACAGCCCAAAAACATCACTGCTCTAGAGGAGATCTGCATGGAGGAATGGGCCAAAATACCAGCAACAGTGTGTGAAAACCTTGTGAAGACTTACAGAAAACGTTTGACCTGTGTCATTGCCAACAAAGGGTATGTAACAAAGTATTGAGAAACTTTTGTTATTGACCAAATACTTATTTTCCACCATAATTTGCAAATAAATTCATTAAAAATCCTAAAATGTGATTTTCTCATTTGGCTGTCATAGTTGACGTGTACCTATGATGAAAATTACAGGCCTCTCTCATCTTTTTAAGTGTGATAACTTGCACAATTGGTTGCTGACTAAATACTTTTTTTCCCCACTGTAATTGAGGTAAATATGTAGTGTGCATATAGATAGGGTTAAAGTGACTAGGCAACAGGATAGATAATTAACCTCTACGGGATCGGTGTCCCGTATACGGGATGGTTGAGCTAACGTGCGCTAATGTGATTAGCATGACTGTTGTACGTAACAGCAAACTTTCCAGGACATAGACATGTCTTATATGGGCAGAAAGCTTAAATTATTCTTAATCTAACTGCACTGTCCAATTTACAGTAGCTATTACAGTGTAAAAAAGACCATGCTATAGTTTGAGGAGTGTTCACAACAACAAAAAACGTATCGCGGCAACTGTTTTGATACATTCACCTCTGAAGGTAAATAATGAAGGTAAATAAATAATTCAGTAATCTTGCTCTGATTTGTCATCCTAAGTGTCCCAGAGATAAAATGTAGCATAGTTTTGTTTGATAATATCAATTTTTAAATGCAAATGTAAATCTGGGTTCTCAGTTTGAACCAATGCTGTCTCTGGCTCCACACCCGCCCTGCCATCTAGATGTGTGAAAGTTAGGGTATAAGCTAATGATCCATCATGTATGACATTTATGGGAGTGTGTAAACTTACATTTTGTATTACCATATCATTTTTGTATGTTCTCTATAGTTATATACTTGAAAATGTATCAATTGACCAATTCGGCACATTTGGGCAGACTTCATACAAAATAGTCCAGTATTGCAACGCTTCACTGGATCAATCTGAAACTTTGTACAAACACTGCTGCCATCTAGTGGCCAAAATCTAAATTGTGGCTAAACTGCAATATTATATTGTGGCCTTTCTCTTGCATTTCAAAGATGATGGAACAAAAAAAACGTTAAAAAGGCATGTTTTTTTGTTTGTATTATCTTTCACCAGATCGAATGTGTTATATTCTCCTACATCAATTTCACATTTCCAAAAACTTCAAATTGTTTCCTTTCAAATGGTATCAATAATATGCATATCCTTGCTTCAGGTCCTGAGCTACAGGCAGTTAGATTTGGGTATGTCATTTTAGGCGAAAATTTAAAAAAAGGGTCCGATCCTTAAGAGGTTGACAGTAGCAGCTGCAGCGTATGTGATGAGTCAACAAAGTTAGTGCAAAAAGGGTTAATGCAGATAGTTCGGGTAGCTATTTAGTCAACTATTTAGTAGTCTTGGGGGTAGAAGCTGTTCAGGGTCCTGTTGGTTACAGACTTGGTGCATCGGTACCGTTTGCCATGCAGTAGCAGAGAGAACAGTCTAAGACTTGGGTGGCTGGAGTCTTTGACAATTTTTAGGGCCTTCCTCTGACACGGCCTGGTAAAGAGGTCCTGGATGGCAGGGAGCTCGGACCCAGTGATGTATTATTTTTTAAAGCATTTTTCAAACAACTGAAACAGCTTTTTCCTGCAATCTAGATCCATAATCATTATGCTTAATTCTATTTTTTTTTTTAGTTTATTTTTCTGCATATCTAAGCATACCCCTAGAGCTGTCTGTATCCTCCTGACTGGTGTTATTTATTATTATTTACATATTTTTACTAAATATGCTTCTCTGCATCTCTGCTAATTTAAGTGAATAAAAAAAAATACATATTTTAAATAAGAACTTAGTTTAGTTTAGTGACATGTCTGATGCTGGTGTCTGATGTCCTTTTATGGCTTGGACAAACTATCCAAATACAGCTATGAAGCTGTTGTTAAACGAGGCGGTCTTGGCCATCTCAGTGGCTCTGGCTGTCCTGTCTGCTGTACTGGCTGCTGTCTCATCTTCACACAACTGATTGAAGTGCTGATCCTGCTGCTGATGCTGAGCCTCAAGTGTTTCCAGGTATGAGGCCTCGGTCCCCCTCATGAAGTTCAGGTATTCACTGGTTGTGCTCGCAGTGTGTTTTCTCTCCCTTGGGAAACTATATAGGCAGAAGTAATGACAGGTACAGTACAGGAATAAAAAGGTACAGACTCCAAAGCAAATCTGAGGGCAGCCAGTGTGAGTGCAGTTCTGTTCTCCCACCATGTATTGTCAGTGTTGGGCCAACCAGATCTACCAACCAGATACTCCAATGATGCAAATAATACAGGTCTTGGGTAAGAATATGATTAATTGAATCACAGTTTTATATATGCATTCCTAGATCCACATTCTCTCCTTGAATAATGTTTAGGAACATAACCCTGCCATGACAAAAGCCCTCTGTGGATGAGATTGCCCACCCTGTTGAAGACAGCTAAATTGAGTGATTAGGGCTAAACAAGTGAACATGACAAACAATTGACAGTAAACTGTTTACCAACCAAGAATAGACCCTTGGCGCCTGGGGGTGCAGGGCTCAGGGGTTGCAGGAGCATTGATTGTGTTGATGGACAATGGGTGTCTGGGGATGCAGGGCTCTGAGGTTGTGGCTTTGCTATTCAAGCATGCAGCTTCCTCTAAGTCTGTAGGTTCAGCGATTTCCTCTGAAAATTATAAGTATGTTTGTATAATGTAAATTCAGATACTCCAGCTAACGTCAAACATTTAGCTAAGTCCACAGTGTTGGCCTTCCATGGGTGTTTATATAACAAATTGTTGTTCCTGGTTCACATCTCGCGCAGTGCTCATTCTCATATTTTACATTTACATTTACATTTTAGTCATTTAGCAGACGCTCTTATCCAGAGCGACTTACAGTTAGTGAGTGCATACATTTTCATACTGGTCATACACGATGTGTAGATTATATATCTCTGTTACATACAGTCTGTCTGTCTGTCTGTCTGTCTGTCTGTCTGTCTGTCTGTCTGTCTGTCTACTGGTCTTTCAGTCTGTCTACTGGTCTTTCAGTCTGTCTACCTGTCTGTCAGTCTGTCTCCCGGTCTGTCAGTCTGTCTACCGGTCTGTCAGTCTGTCTACCGGTCTGTCAGTCTGTCTACCGGTCGGTCAGTTTGTTTACCGGTCTGTCAGTCTGTCTACCGGTCTGTCAGTCTGTCTACCGGTCTGTCAGTCTGTCTACCGGTCTGTCAGTCTGTCTACCGGTCTGTCAGTCTGTCTACTGGTCTGTCAGCCCTAGGTGTATATGAAGGAGCTACATAAAATAAAATAAATAAATAAATAAAATGACATTTAGCAGACGCTTTTATCCAAAGCGACTTACAGTCATGCGTGCATACATTTTTTTGTGTACGTGTGGTCCCGGGGATCGAACCCACTACCTTGGCGTTACAAGCGCCGTGCTCTACCAGCTGAGCTACAGAGTACAAAAAGTACCAAATGGCACCACCCTTGACCAGGCCTATAGCATCATATTCCCTATGTAGGACACTACTCCTGACCAGGCCCATAGCATCATATTCCCTATGTAGGGTACTACTCCTGACCAGGCCCATAGCATCATATTCCCTATGTAGGGCACTACTCCTGACCAGGCCTATAGCATCATATTCCCTATGTAGGACACTACTCCTGACCAGGCCCACAGCATCATATTCCCTATGTAGGGCACTACCCCTGACCAGGCCCACAGCATCATATTCCCTATGTAGGACACCACTCCTGACCAGGCCCACAGTGGTCTAAAGTAGTGCACTATATAGGGAATATGATGCCATTTGGGACTGAGCCCAGTAGATCTGGTACTATGAAGTACCTACAGTGGGGAAAAAAAGTATTTAGTCAGCCACCAATTGTGCAAGTTCTCCCACTTAAAAAGATGAGAGAGGCCTGTAATTTTCATCATAGGTACACGTCAACTATGACAGACAAAATTAGAATTTTCTTTCCAGAAAATCACATTGTAGGATTTTTAATGAATTTATTTGCAAATTATGGTGGAAAATAAGTATTTGGTCAATAACAAAAGTTTCTCAATACTTTGTTATATACCCTTTGTTGGCAATGACACAGGTCAAACGTTTTCTGTAAGTCTTCACAAGGTTTTTACACACTGTTGCTGGTATTTTGGCCCATTCCTCCATGCAGATCTCCTCTAGAGCAGTGATGTTTTGGGGCTGTCGCTGGGCAACACAGACTTTCAACTCCCTCCAATGATTTTCTATGGGGTTGAGATCTGGAGACTGGCTAGGCCACTCCAGGACCTTGAAATGCTTCTTACGAAGCCACTCCTTCGTTGCCCGGGCGGTGTGTTTGGGATCATTGTCATGCTGAAAGACCCAGCCACGTTTCATCTTCAATGCCCTTGCTGATGGAAGGAGGTTTTCACTCAAAATCTCACGATACATGGCCCCATTCATTCTTTCCTTTACACGGATCAGTCGTCCTGGTCCCTTTGCAGAAAAACTGCCCCAAAGCATGATGTTTCCACCCCCATGCTTCACAGTAGGTATGGTGTTCGTTGGATGCAACTCAGCATTCTTTGTCCTCCAAACACGACGAGTTGAGTTTTTACCAAAAAGTTATATTTTGGTTTCATCTGACCATATGACATTCTCCCAATCCTCTTCTGGATCATCCAAATGCACTCTAGCAAACTTCAGACGGCCTGGACATGTACTGGCTTAAGCAGGAGGACACGTCTTGCACTGCAGGATTTGAGTCCCTGGCGGCCGTAGGTTACTGATGGTAGGCTTTGTTACTTTGGTCCCAGCTCTCTGCAGGTCATTCACTAGGTCCCCCCGTGTGGTTCTGGGATTTTTGCTCACCGTTCTTGTGATCATTTTGACCCCACAGGGTGAGATCTTGCGTGGAGCCCCAGATCGAGGGAGATTATCAGTGGTCTTGTATGTCTTCCATTTCCTGATAATTGCTCCCACAGTTGATTTATTCAAACCAAGCTGCTTACCTATTGCAGATTCAGTCTTCCCAGCCTGGTGCAGGTCTACAATTTTGTTTCTGGTGTCCTTTGACAGCTCTTTGGTCTTGGCCATAGTGGAGTTTGGAGTGTGACTGTTTGAGGTTGTGGACAGGTGTCTTTTATACTGATAACAAGTTCAAACAGGTGCCATTAATACAGGTAACGAGTGGAGGACAGAGGAGCCTCTTAAAGAAGAAGTTACAGGTCTTGAGAGCCAGAAATCTTGCTTGTTTGTAGGTGACCAAATACTTATTTTCCACCATAATTTGCAAATAAATTCATTAAAAATCCTACAATGTGATTTTCTGGAATTTTTTTCCTCAATTTGTCTGTCATAGTTGACGTGTACCTATGATGAAAATTACAGGCCTCTCTCATCTTTTTAAGTGGGAGAACTTGCACAATTGGTGGCTGAATAAATACTTTTTTTCCCCACTGTACATGCCAGTACACTGTTATATGCATATCCATATTATTATATCTGAACAATATGTCCAGGTCTCAGTAGAGCGGTATATGGAATAACTCATACATACGTTGCCTTGGTGATGTGTTTCATGACCACACCCTCCAGCCCCTTCCTAATGGCCTTGGGGGAGGCGGAGACTAAGCTAAGCTCCTCCCAGCTCTCCGACATCTTCTGTTCCACCTTCTCATCCTCTGCCGCTCGGCCTGCACGTTCTATCAACCTCTTGACGGCCAACGTAGCGATACCCAGCACTGCGGCCCCTCCCACTCCCATGACCAATCGGGCATTAGCCAGCAGGAAGTCTATCACCACAGCAATGCCCTCCACGCCCCGGCTCCTCCCCCACCGGAAGTCCATCACTTCCTGTCCCACAGTGACACCAATCTACAACGTCTGCTATGTTGTATTCTAACGCCAACCCATTTGATAAAAATAAAAATAAAAACGTTATTTCGCTGACAAGTTTGTTAGTCGACCATATCTTGTCCTTTTCATTATCTGTCACATGCTACATCTAGCTACGCTGAAGACATTGGTAACTCGCTAGACAGTAATTTGGCTATGAACAATCTAATACCGTGCTAAACATCGCTGCTCGCCGTCATCATGGCTTCAAATATCGCTGTCTTATTCACTTTTGTTGTTGTGGTCTTTTATCTTTTTATATTCTTGTTTGAATTTCTTAATTTTTTTCTGTGCACTGTTTTACTGAACGATGGATTCCCATCTCGGCTAATATATCCAATATTATTTTGAAAACCTTTACATTCCTGGTGGAAGAATTCAGTTGCCTCTGGATGCTGGAGTCTTCTCATATGCTCAAAAGCGTGTGGACATCTCCAACTGACCAATTTGCTGCTTCCATTATTCGTTTTAGCTTTAAAGTTATTCGTAAGTGTAACTGTACTAAGTTATTTCTATGGCTGTACCGTTCGTTTCCAGATTGACCTTCTTTTATAAAAATGACGCCAATGGGTATTAACAACATACGCAACACTGTGACATCATTGCGTGAGACCAATCATTGAGTACGGCCATTTGTAACCCCACCCACCGGCCTACTTGGTTTGAGGTCAGTACCAGATATAAAACGAGGCTGAATATCCGCTTGGTTCCAGGAATCAAGCAGGCCATGGGCAAATGGAAATTAAATAGGAACCGTTATATTCACGACGCCAAGGCATGGCCCTGCAATGGAAAAGCGTCAACTTGATTGATAGCCTGAAATGGGTTTGTCACTAATTACCATAGCCATAAAGTCATAAACCCCGCCTATTTCTAAAATGTCTCTTCTTAAAATGTGATTTTTATTCCTAACCTTATACATATATAATTTTTTTAAACAGGACACACCAGGAGGCACATGCCCCTGTGCCCCCTAGGGGCATGACACCTCTGTGTGCAAGCAGGACTTTCTGTGAATCAGCCTGCTTTAACAGTTAATTCTGCCTTCCCAGACTCTTGTGTGTGGGCCAAAAAGTTGTATTTGGTCCATTTTCAAATGTTAACAATTCTGTTGTGTATTAGTAACCAAATACTAATTTAGCAAAAGGAGAATGGTTAAAGCGAGTAAAAACAACAACACAACAACGTCTGTAAGGGTTTTTCCCCGAGCATAATGCTCACCTGAGGCACCATCATATAATATATGCCAGGTCCCACAAAGTAAGTCAAACAACAAGCATTACCCCTGGAGCTAGCGGGGCCTGTGACTTTCTCTGTAATCCGGCCATTTTGTTACCTGCCACTGTGCACCACCAAGGTGGTGATGGCTGGACTACACCATACGCAGCTAAGGCCGCTCGCTAATAATTCTGCAGTGGACCATATATCCTGTGCCTGCACTGATGCATCTTACAGCGACTCACACGGAGGGCGCCTCAGTCGTCCATCATGAGCTGACACCAAAGAACACTGATGTTTTCGTTTGGCAGCATCGCAGGGGCATATTTCACTCTCTGATGGCGCCAGCTCGCTCTGTTCTGTCTCCCTCTTTCTGCCTCTTTCGCTCTCTCTCCTCCTTTCTCTCTCTCTCTACTTCTCTCCTCCCTCCCTCTCTCTCTCTCTCTCTCTTTCTCTCTCTCCTGTCTTTTTCTCTCATTCCACCCTGCAGGCACTGACGTTGCACAATGTCACTATTGGAATGTCTTTGCATTCATTTTGTTGCAGGGACCACCAACATTCCAGCCTTTCTCATCTCTTACTCTAGATTGACAGACAACTAAATACATCATCTGCGACAGAGAAAGTATAAGAGGCTACAGGAGCCAGAGACATTGACTGACAGCCACACTAACCCCAAGGTTATTAAGGACAATGTTATAGACCTACTGGACCATTCACTAACCATATTGAAGATGATCGTAAAGCTCAAATATGTTTCTGCATTGTTTAATTCAAGTCCGAATAAATGTAGACACCAGCATTATCCTCGCATCAGCCCTCTGTCAGCATGTGAGCATGTCATTAAAAACTTGGTTGGGTTGCATTTCTCCTCTGGACTCCTTTCTCTGGGGTATTTAAATGGGTGTTCATTACTAGGGGGTCCTATTTCCCACCATGCACTATGTGTCCCAGATGTATACACTTGTGAATCAAAATGTATCTGTAAGTTAATGGTGTGAAGACATGCCCCTTGTGGTCTAAAATGAGCCCTTAGTTCGGAATAACATACTAAAACAAATCTCTCAGGTTGTGTGGGGATGGTAATGTGGACTGCTATATTTGTGTACGATGGTCATATCCATTATGAAATAAAAACAGTGATGTGGCTTCTGGGATTTTGCCAAAACTCATTCCCCACTATCTGCTCAAATGAAAGCTCACCTTACTTTGTGTAGGGGTTTTCACATGTGTGCTCCCACTGGGCAGAGACGTAAATTCAACGTGTATTCCAAGTTGGTTCAACGTCATTTCATTGGAATAACGTGGAAACAACGTTGATTCAACCAGTGTGTGCCCAGTGGGCTGTAACAAATGATGCACAATTATAAATAACTAATGATGCATCACTTTGAATGTAACTAATTGTACCCGCCGTTATATAGTTTTAGCATGACTGTGAGAGATACATGTAAAACATAGGAAAAAGTAACATGTAGAATGCTTTGCATTCTATTTCACAGACGTGTATTGAGAATGAGAAAATGTGTGACAACTTCTATGCACTGACATGCCACTGTTGCCAACAAAACCTTCCTTTCTCCCTCTCAAAGCGCTCGCTGACTTGATCTGCTTATTTTTAAAACCCCCGACAATAAGAGTAGGCGACACACCATGTCACTTGAATGCGTTGGAAAAAATAATTGCTGGGGAGGAAAGTAAAAATATGCAAGCAAGAGGGAGAACAAATGTCGGCGGCTACTGCTCAGATGAGAGTAAATGTGAGTTGCAGTGAGTCTGTGGTGAATGCAAGCCAGGGCTAAGAAGTCAATGAATCGTTTGCGTAATGCCTCCGGTACTCATAAGTGTGAATGTCACAGGTAATCCTTCCGTCTTCAAGCGATAATGGATGCATCTTTGTCAAGTGGTGTGGTGCGAAGAATACTGTGACCTCCATGTCATAATAACTCTGTAGGGAGATCCCTAAGAAACATCTCATTTAGTTGTGTGTTTCCATGTGTTGCCTATGATATACAGTGCCTTCAGAAAGTATTCACACCCCTTGACTTTTTCCACATTTTGTTGTGTTACAGCCTGAATTTAAAATGGATTAAATATAGTTTTTTTTTTTGTCACTGGCCTACACAAAATACCCCGTAATATCAAAGTGGAATTATGTTTTTAGAAATGTTTGCAAATTAATAAAACATCTAAAGATGAAATGTCTTGAGTCATTAAGTATTCAAGCCCTTTGTTAAGGCAAGCCTAAATGAGTAAAACTATTTAAAATGTGCTTAACAAGTCCCATAATAAGTTGCTCTGTAAACTCTAATAGTGTTTCACATGATTTTTGAATGACTACCACATCTCTGTACCCCACACATACAATGATCTTTAAGTTCCCCTCAGTCGAGCAATGAATTTCAAACACAGATTCAACCACAAAGATCAGGGAGGTTTTCTAATGCCTTGCAAAGAAGGGCACCTATTGGTAGATCGGTAAAAATACAAAAAAAGCAGACATTTAATATCCCTTTGAGCATGGCGAAGTTATTAATTACACTTTGGATGGTGAATCAATACACCCAGTGACTACACAGTTACAGGCATCCTTCCTAACTCAGTTGCTGGAAAGGAAGGAAACCGCTCTGGGATTTCACCATGAGGACAATGGTGACTTTAAAACAGTTAGAGTTTAATGGCTTTGATTGGAGAATCTGAGGATTGATCAACAACATTGTAGTTACTCCACAATACTAACCTAACTGAAAGAGTGAAAAGAAGGAAGCCTGTACAGAATAAAAATATTCCAAAAGGCACTAAAGCAATACTGCAAAAAAATTCACTTTTTGTCCTGAATACAAATTGTCATGAGTACCACTCTCCATATTTTCAAGGATTATGGTGGCTGCATAATGTTATGGGTATGCTTGTAATCGTTAAAGACAGGAGTTTTTTCAGGATAAAAAAGAAAAGGAATGGAGCTAAGCTCAGGCAAAATCCTGGAGGAAAACAGGAGTCGCAAGTTTACATACACGTAGGTTGGAGTCAATAAAACTTGTTTTTCAAACCACTCCACAAATATGTTGTTAACAAACTATAGTTTTGGCAAGTCGGTTAGGACATCTACTTTGTGCATGACACAAGTAATTTTTCCAACAATTGTTTACAGACAGATTATTTCACTTATAATTCACTGTATCACAATTCCAGTGGGTCAGAAGTTTACATACACTAAGTTGACTGTGCCTTTAAACAGCTTGGAAAATTCCAGAAAAACTATGTCATGGCTTTAGAAGCTTCTGATAGGCTAATTGACATAATTTGAGTCAATTGGAGGTGTACCTGTGGATGTATTTCAAGGCCTACCTTCAAACTCTTTGAAGGCCTCTTTGCTTGACATCATGGGAAAATCAAAAGAAATCAGCCAAGACCTCAGAAAAACATTTGTAGACCTCCACAAGTCTGGTTTATCCTTGGGAGCAATTTACAAACACCTGAAGGTACCACGTTCATCTGTACAAACAATAGTATGCAAGTATAAACACCATGGGACCATGCAGCTGTCATACCGCACTGGAAGGAGACATGTTCTGTCTCCTAGAGATGAACGTACTTTGGTGCAAAAACTGCAAATCAATCCCAGAACAACAGCAAAGGACCTTGTGAAGATGCTGGAGGAAACAGGTACAAAAGTATCTATATCCACAGTAAAACGAGTCCTATATCGACATAACCTGAAAGGCCGCTCAGCA